TTCACAGAGTATCAATACCCACAACACTCGCTTCTGTCTGTTAAAGGATCATTTGATCAGATTTAAAATGAAGATACTGGAACACAAATTCATTTCTAAAGGTATCAGACAGTGAAGAGCATCAGACAGGATTCTGGAGATTTTCATACATTTTCAGATGGATTTGATAAAAACATTTACACACAGTTATTTTTGTACAGTACATTTCTGTGTGTAATATTTCCCCATACAGTTTCAAATAAATGCATTTTCAAATATATTTAGTTAATATGGCAAAATATTCTGAAATACATTTTAGTGTCTGGATTGTATTTCGGCATCGACTGCAGTGAATTTCAAATGGATTTCAAATATATAAAAATACACGTCCATATATTTTCCTTCATTTTTCCACTTCACATGAGTGGAGAAGCAGAACTTTGTATGTGTAAGATATGAAGCTCTGGTTCTCCTCTAATCTGACGTGGTCACCTCTGAACCGCAGGAATGTAGATCTGGGATCTGATCTTCCAAAACATCCTCCTTCCTCTAACTTAACATCTCTCACATCCCCGAAATCGTAACTTTATACGAGAAGAAAAACATTCTAAACATCTGTCAGCGTAACTCAAGACAGCTGGAAAGGTTTGATTTTCTAAAAGCTCCGCTGGTCAGACCATCATGAAGCTCTGCTGGTCAGGATCTGTTGTCGTGTCTTCGCTCTGATGGGCTGCGTTACCGTGTGGTTTGGCAGTTTGACTGATCACGACTTCAAACTACCACTGAGATCTTCAGAGACACTGAACTACCAAACCTCATAACACTTAAGCACAATCACTCGTTATGTAAGGACAGCGCAGAGCGTTATTAAACACCGCCGTCCTGCCCACGTGCTCGTCCCCATCGTCCATCTAAAACGCAACGCCAGAGCGGCTGACATACTGCCGTCATGACCAGAACAACAGGGGGCGCTCTTTTTAACCCAGGAGGACCAAAAAGATTTTATTAGTGCCACACTCTTAAAAAAGATTGTTTAAGGGTTCTTTAGTAAAGACTGCTTCTATATAGAACCATGAACTCTCAAAGAACCATTTGTATGATTAAATGGTTCTCTGCATGGTGAAATCGGTCTTCAGATTAATGGAGAATTGTTTTCCGTTGTATATGGTTCTATATGGCATCAAAAAGCGTTCTGCTGTAGTTACGATTTCAAATCTGTCACAGTAGAAGAACCCTTTTTGGTGCCATATGGAACCATATACAACAAGTTCTCTATCAGTCTGAAGAACCATATCACCATGCAAAGAACCATTTAATAATAGTAAGGGTTCTTTGAGTGTTCGTGGTTCTATAAAGAACCATTTTCTTTACTAAAGAAACCTTGAAGAACCATTGTTTTTAGGGGTGTGATATATAGCTTATAAATCAGTAGTGGTCGCCCCCTGGAGGGAGAACACGTACTAACTGAGACACATACAGATACAAACAATGATAAAAGAGGAAGGATATACAAACACAAATCAAAGTGAAAATGAATGAAGGATCGAGTGAGAAAACAAAAACGAAATAGTAGTTTAATAAACTGTGGCTATGTACAGTTAACGTCTCTGTTATAGACTAATTCATTACACTCTCTGTGAATATTCCAGTCTACTGATTAAAAACTCTCCCTTAGTTTCTCTGATCACTACTTAGCAACCGTTGCCATCTGCCACTGCCTCAAGCCTTCGGTTTTTATCAGTGTGCCAGTGTTTGAATCTGAAGCTCCGGCTGAGAAAAAAAATGCACCAATGAGATCTGTGAAAGTGAGAACTCATCCCTGATAGATCAGAGCCAGAAACAATTTAAAGATGCCGTCAGTGAATTTACAGTGTTACTTTACTACAAAAGCTGAAATGGACCATCAAATAGACTAAACAATAAAAGTAAACATCTACCTCAGTACATCTAGTCATACATAGTCAATAGACATTTTTCATATTTCCAGTCTAGAGTGATTCGATTTAGGTGTCTCACCCCTTAAAATCTCCGGCTTATTAAATACCAAGGCTTATTATTCAGTAACTACAGGGACTTCAGTGCAAACTGGCTGAGCTATTCTTGAGTTATAGAAGTGTGTAATAAAGCTTTGGGCTGTGGCCATTTAAGGGGTTAAGTTTGCTGTGTTGTTTTCTCATCTTTGTGCATCTCAGATTTAAACTCTGTTGTCTTCACTGTGCAGGAGTCGTGCCTGTCGCACACTTTATAGTGAAAGTGCTGCAGTGTTGACTGTTTATGTGAATCCAGCATTCTGGCTGATTGCTGCTGTTTTGGGATGATGGCTGTATGTTATGGCTGTAGTCTGGGTCTGGAGCTATTACTTTGCAGAACATTAGCATGTGTAGAAATCTTTTCTACCATGTTGCCCCTATTTTTTCACAGGTCTATCCAAAAATTCATCCTGTGAGTGCTCCAGTTTTAAATCTCAATGTGGGGCTGCTGGCGACCCAATCGGTTACTGCACTATATTTCAACAATCTGATTGGTCGTTGCTCAGTTCATTTGCGTAACAATTATCCAGAACAAGAGAGCAGAGCGAGGACGTGCATCATGGGTTGGTTATGTATACATACTGTCCTCTCTCGCCTCAATATAGCACTGAATGACACGTTCTGTTTGATGTAAATTTGCAAAAAAATTTTAATGAAACGAAAAAAGGAAACTGATGTCATCAGTCACGTCACACGCGCCGCTTAAAATTTCAGCCCCAACCTAAAACACCTTCCTGTGTCACAGCGCTGCAGCAGACAGCCTAACACTTACAGTTACAGCTACTACTGACATAGCTGCACTATTTAAACATGATTACACAATTAATTAGTTTGTTACATAATTAATTACATTCAGAGACTTTTTGTGTTTTTGACTTCAAAAAAAAAACAAAACAGCAAAAGAGTATTTACTTTCTGCAAAACAAGACTGAACAATAACTATTCATCAAATCCAAATCATAAAATATCTGCTCTCTGCTCACAGACGCTCTGCACCTTCCACAGTTTCTCCACTCGTTTCAGTCAGAAATCATTCCTATAGAACCACAGCGGGACTTCATCAGCAGGAACTGTGTCTGAGGCTGAAAGTGAAGATCTTCTCTTATAAAATTTAACTGTGAAAAAATTAAGATACAATCAAAAAAGGCTGAACTTCCCTAAAGCACCACAGCACAAAGCTGAGAGAGACGGGAGAGCGAGCACCACTGTGAACTCTCTCTCTCTAATCATTAATATGATCTCAACCTGTAGTCTGAGTTCTGCTCATGTAGAACCCTGTTCTCTAAACAAAGTACTAGATTCTTGTCTACTCCTCTGTTCTGTGGTCTAAACAGTTCAGCAGGTTTCTTCCACCCGTTTCTGTCACACCTTAAATCAGCTCTGAGCCGCAGGTTGTTGATGTTTTCCAGACGCTGATTTTTAAAATGTTAGCATTAGCATTTTTAGCTGGAATGACTGACAGCAGTTTAAGCCAAACTTGTAAAAGAGTTTATGCGTTTAGAACCCTGTTTCACGCAGTGCGCTCCAACGAGGAGGAGAGAAAACAGGCCTGGGAGCTGGAAGAGCACCGACAACAGAACGATCAAACACTGTCTGATCTACAGTCTGAGTGAATACAGTGACCAGGTCACCTTTAAGAGTTAGACAGATCTGTCCAGACATGAAGGTCCTGCTGTGAAGCAGTGAGGGGTCAGAACTGGAAACACTTCAAACCTCTTTAGCTTTAGAGACGTGGAATCAATCCAGAACAGCCCTCAACCCAGTCTTTCAACTTTCTATACCACCTTCAGACGTTCTCCTAGTCAAATCATAATTCTTTCATTTACGAGATGATCTGATACTGATTTTCTGGGTCGATACCGTAACTGAAAATCTACACATGAACTAGGTAAACGCTGAATTGGCAGTTGAAATGACCACAATTCCCAGACAGGACCGATAATTTGGAATGCTGAGACTGATTAAGAATGTGCTGTAGATGATTCTATATACAACTTTTTTGAATATGGTTCTATATGCCACCTAACAGGGTTCTTCTATTGTTACAATATGAAGCATGTAACAGTAGAAGAACCCTTTTGGGTGCTATATAGAACCCTTTTCAGAAAGGTTCTGTATAGAACCATGAACACAGAAAGAACCCTTTGCATGAACAAAAGGGTCTTTTGCATCATAAACGGGTCCTTCAGACTGATGGAGAGCGTGCTGTAGATGGTTCTATATAGAACCTATTTAGCACCCAAAAGGGTTGTTCTATTGTTATGATGTCAAGCTTGTAACAATAGAAGAACCCTTTTGGGTGCTATATAGAACCCTTTTCAAAAAGGTGCTATACAGAACCATCTACAGTACATTCATGCACATTCTCCATCAATCTTTCTCGATCACTTTCATGATGTGAAGAATCCTTTAATCATGCAAAGTGTTCTTTTGTTGTTCATGGTTCTATATAGAACCATTTTCCTTGCTAAAGAACCCTTGAAGAACCATCTTTTTTCACACTACCAAGCTGGGAGGGTAAAGGCAGCACATGGAGCTCTACCACATCCTTTGAACTGCTGCTGACGCCACATCATTGGAGCTCAACACGCTCTGAGGAGAACACTAACACTCAGACGGCTGAACTAATTAATCATCTCTAGTTTTAAACGCTGCAGTGACTTCAGCAAATTTCCTTTCTAAACAGAGCCGTTTGAACTTGAATGGAGTTGTAAGAAAAGCTGTGACCCATAAAGTGTCCACCAGCCCTGACCTGCATGACCGTAACTCTGAGACTGTGTGTGCAGAGCTGGACATACGGTGGACCATATGTGGTGAATAAGTAGAGAAAAGCAGATAAAAGGAGAAAAACAGGCCATTCAGTCCTGAAATCTGACGCCACAGAGCAAGAAATGAAATGCAGATCAGGTTCTTATGAAGAAGGAATCGAGAACAGAGAGCAAAGCCAGAAGACAAGCGTGAAGAGAGACGAAGCAACAGGACTGCGTTTACCAGCTGTTTACGGTTTTCCTCCAAGCACAGTCCCAGCATGCCCAAGAAGGAGCCGAACGCCAGCTGCAAACAACAAACAGGCAAAACAAACATGTTACAAAGCAGCTCCACGCTGACCGCTCTGACCACTCTGACCGCTCTGACCACTCTGACGAGAATATAAACACTCTCTGCTTCTCTTCATCTGAATGATGTATGACAGTCACAGCTTCAGCAGAGACCCTCATCTTCACTGAGCAGCGCAGAACTCAGAGGAACCTCAGCAGCTCCACTGATTCTCTGAACTCTGCTGCTTTATTTACTCTCATTTCTCAGCAGAACCTGCAGATGTTTATGGTTTGGGTTATGAAATATCCTCCTGCTTCAGCTGCATCTGCCAGAGCCGGAGTTAGGGTTTAGGGTTTTAGAACTTAAGGGGGTTAGGGTTATAGGGTTTAGTGTTTTTAGGGTTGAGGTTTTACGGCATAGGGTTCTAGGTTTAAGGCTTTTAGGGTTTAGTGGTTTTAGCGTTAAAATTTTAGGGTTTAGTGTTTTTAGGGCTAAGGTTTTAGGGTTTGGGGGGTTTAATGTTAAGACTTTTTAACGTTTAGTGGTTTTAGGCTTAAGATTTTAGGGTTTAGTTTGAGTTTTAGGGTTAAGATTTTAGGGTTTAGGGTTTTTAGGCTTTGAGTTTTAGGGTTAAGTGTTAGAGCTCAGGGGTTTAGGGTTAAGTTTATGGGTTAGGATTTAAGATTTAGTGGTTTTAGGGTGAAGATTTTGGGGTTTAAGGGTTTCAGTGGTTAGGGTTTTAGGGTTTAGGGCTTTTAGGGTTTAATGGTTTTAGGGTTAAAATTTTAGGGTTTAGTGTTTTTAGGGGTAAGGTTTTAGGGTTTAGGGGGTTTAATGTTAAGACTTTTTAAGGTTTAGTAGTTTTAGGCTTAAGATTTTAGGGTTTAGGATTTTTAAGCTTTGAGTTTTAGGGTTAAGTGTTAGAGCTCAGGGGTTTAGGGTTAAGGTTATGGGTTAGGATTTAAGATTTAGTGTTTTAGGGTTTTAGGGTGAAGATTTTGGGGTTTAAGGTTTTCAGTGGTTAGGGTTTTAGGGTTTAGGGTTTTTAGGGTTTTACGGTTCTTGGCTATTTTTAGGGATTTAGCATTAGGCTTTTAGGGTTGGATTTGAATTGTAGAATTTATTTTTGAGATTAGAGATTTTAGGACCAAAGTTCAGGGATTTAGAATTAGAGTTTTACTGTTATGGATTTTAAGGGTAGAATTTTAGGGCTGGATTTGTACATTAGGGTTTAGGGTTTTAGGGCCAGGGTTTGAGGGATGGATTTCCAGTTTAGGGTTTTAGGGCTAAGGTTTTAGGGTTGGGATAGCATTTTAGGGGTTAATAGATTAGGAGTTTACAGTTGGGTTAACACTTTAGGGTTTTAGGGTTTCAGGGTCAGGGCTTTAGGGATGACCTTTAGGGATGAGTTAGCATTTTAGGGGATTAAGTTTAAAGGGTTAGGGCTTTAGTGTTCGGTTAGCAGTTTAGGGTTATAGTTGTAGGGTTACAGTTTTAATATTGGGTTCAGCACATGAGGGGTTTAACATGAAGAATTCTAGATATATAAAATAAATATTATTTTATATTTAGTATTTTTGGGTTATTTCCTGTCTCTGGTCATATTAATCACAACTTATCATATAATATCAAGGAAAAGACTAGGCAGTGACTTTTACTCCACCTCTAAATCATTTTCTGAGGCTCTGAATATGAGGCTCAGCGTGTGTGTGTGTGTGTTTGGGGGGAGGTGTTTTACTCCTCATTGCTGGTCCTATCGGGTCTTTTTAGCGCTTCTGTACTGATTTCCCAGCTCGACTGTGGTTAAGCGATTCTCATGTTCTTCTCTGTAGCTGAACGTCTCAATACTCCAGCAGAGGAAACGGATCTGTGTGATTTACAGCTTTGAGCTCCAGCAGAAACACTTTCTGGCGAACACTCTGTAACTGACTTGGCTCGCAGGCTAAGAGACAAACCTCCAGCATGATTCTGCATAAAGAACAAGCCCGAGGATGAAATTATGATAGTCTGATATGACGTCTCTGAGTGGGTCGAAATTTTTCTCAAATGTCAGAGTAAAGACGACATTTTCTGAGGCTCTGAATATGAGGCCCGCTGGGGGGGCTGAGAGTAGGCTGAGAGGGGGGCTACTTTTAGAATACTTACCCTGAAATGTGCCACTACACAGCTGATTTGATGTATAAAGCTGTCAACATGATCATTCTGAATCTTTAAAATCATAAATAATGCATCTGAGAAAATGACGAACAGACTGAAAATATTTAAACCCCTTTAAAGCTTAATAGACGACGTACTTAACGTACGCACTGAAACTCAGTCACTGAGTTCATTTCAGCAGAAACATCAGTTATTACTAATATTGATGCTCATCAGATTAACATTATTTGACATGTTTTGAAATGTTTTAAAAACATTTTGTCACATTAATTTCAGGAAGATTGTGTGCAAATCAAACACATTCATATGCCATATTGTATTTTCTTCTGGATGATCAGCGTCTGCGGACAAATTCACCGGAGACTTTTTATAGTATAAAGTATAAATTTCTTCTTGTCTCCATGAGAACTAATAACCTACAAACCCAATACATGGTGACACTAATTGCAGAAGCATCCTGTACATGCAGACTCTGCTCTGTGTGAGAGGAATTATGTGGCAGAACAACATTAAGTTGAAAGGGTTCTGTTTTTTCAGGGTGGTTCTGTAGATGCAGACTTACAGATGGTCAGCAGAGTCACCATTACACTGAAGCAGAGCTCCAGCCGGATTCTATAATGGTTTGTGGTTTTGAATGAATAATGTACAGCCAGAACTTCTGAGCTTAACACTCCCACAAAAGTCATCTCTCATTAACGTACCCCCGCCCTCTCACCCCCCGACACACACATACATATGTACACACACACACACACACACACATATATACACAAACATATATATACACACATATATACACAAACACATATATATGCACATATATACACACACACACACACACACATACATATATATACACTATTTAAAAATATATACACACACACACACAAACACACCCAAGTACTGCTCTGACATTAAATGGAACGCAGTTTGAGTGATGTAGATGAAGCAGTAATGAAAACAGTCCTGAACTTTCATCTTCAGTGGGTTTACCGTAAAACCTGCGAGTCAAATCACACAGCGCAATATTTAAATACATCAGAAACATATTCATAGTCATATTAACCCCTTAAACTGCAGTGTCTGTGAGGAAGTGATGATGGTGATGAAGATAATGGTACCTATGATGATGTTGATGGTGATAACGTGATATCTGTGATGATGATTGTAGTTATAACAGTGATAAGTGTTATAGTGATAAAAATAATGGTGATGATGATGACTGTGATGGTGATAAAAATCATAGGCACCATAATGATCAACATAATGGTAATCAATATTATGATGTCTGTGATGGCAGTGATGAAGATAATGGTGATTATGATGAAGACGACAACATGATGGCTGTCGTGATAATGATGGTTATGATTACAGTGATAAAAATGTGATGATGTTGATGATAATGTCGTTATGAAGGTGAAAAGGTAATGTGACTGCAATGATATAGAATGGTGATTATGATGGTGATGCTATTGATGTGATGGTTGTGATAGTGATGACAATGTGATACTGATAAAGATAATGGGGATTTTGATTATAGTGATTATGTGATGATTATGATAGTGATAACAATGAAGATAATGGTAATGATGATTGTGATGACCGTGATGGTGATAAAAATAATGATAATTATAATGATAGTGATGCTGATAATGTGGTTGTGATGATGGTTGTGGTTATGATAGTGATAATGTGGTGATAAATGCAATGGTGATGACAAAGATAATGGTGATGATTATTACAATGACTGATGGGGATGAAAAAGACAATGGTGATATGATTACGGTGATGCTGATAATGTGATGGTAGTGATAATGTTTATGAGTACAGTGATAACATCGTGATGGTGATGACAATAGTGATTATGATGATGATAATGGTTGTGATGATAGTTATGATGATAGTTATAATGTGATAAAAATGATCATGATGTCTGTGATGATGATAAAAATAATGGTGATTAAGATGGTGATGCTGATAACATGATGGTTGTAATGATTGTGATGGTGATGGTGTTGAAGATAACTAATTATGATAGTGATAACAAAGGTAATGTGATAGTGATGATAAAGAATGGTAATTATGATGGTGATGCTGATAATGTGATGGTTGTGATAGTGATTACAATGTGATAGTGATAAAGATAATGGTGATTATGATTATGGTGATAACATGATGGTTATGATGACCAAGATAATGGTGATGGTGATGACTGTGATGGTGGTAATGACAAAGTAAACAGCGATAATGGTATGGATTTAATGATAATGTGTTGAAGGTGATAGGGTAATGATTATGGTAATGATGTGAAAGACGATGATGATGTTAATGATCGTAATGGTAATGATCATTATAGTGGTGATGATGGTGATTGTGATGGTGATAGAAATAATAGTAATTATAATGGTGATGCTGATAATGTGATGGTTGTGATAGTGATAATGTGATAGTGATGAAGATAATGGTGATTATGATTATAGTGATAACATGATGGTTATGATGACCAAGATAATGGTGAAGGTGATGACAGACAGTAATGATGATGGTAAAGGTAATGTGTTGAAGGTGATGGGGGTAATGATTATGGTAACGATCCGAAAAATGATGGTGTTGTTAATGATGGTAATGATCATTATAGTGATGATAATGCTGATGGTAGTGTTGATAGTGTTGATAATATTGATGGTGGTGATGAAGATGATGGTGATAATCATATTTAAGCTGGCAGTGATTATGGTGATGGTGATGATGATAATGATGATGGTGGTTGTTATCATTTTATGATGAAGTTATTACTTACGATAGCTCCTGAAGCGTATCCGGTGATGCTCAGGCTCTCGGTGCGAGTGCTGGTGTAGATACCCAGAGCAACGATGAGCAGGGACAGACTGAGCATGCCCGAAACCAGCTGCAGAGCCTTCCTCCTCTTCATCCTCACAACATCTACAACATGAAACAGAGATTAGAATCTGGTCATCAGTAACATTCACTCTTACATTACCAGTCTGCCCAATCTGTACACAACACAATCCACCCTGTACAGCTCAATCCTACCAATATATGACTTGATCCACCCTGTTTACAACTCAATCCAGTCTCAAGCTCAGAATTCAAAATGCACAAAAGATGTTTTGCTTATACAACTGAAACCATTGTTACCTCGTTAAATGTGCTGGTAAACACTAAAACTTTATCCCAGCCAATGGAAATTCAATTATTCCCTTCATGGTTTGGCCCGGTTCAGCTGAAAGTCCAGAGCGGACAGAAAAGCTCAGGCTGACCGTGTGTCAGAGCGGTGAATGAGGAGGATTAAATCACTGATGTCGAACACTGCTGGCCTTTTTGTGATGCTGTGAAAAACTTGCTGTTTTGAAATGTTTTCAGACCTGAACACTTAATTTTGCTCGGCGCCTCATAAACTCGTCATAATAGCAGCACATTTACTGCTGAGGTAGAAACCCAGTTAAACGGACTGGCAGCGTTTGCTGCTCAGCAGATCCAGCCTGGTGTTCTACACACAGAACCAATTACATCTGGGTCTGCACTGCAGAGCGTGTGTTTATATCTTTGTGGGGACATTACTCTGGTCTCCAATAAGGAAACCCCAAACTTTTTAACTCAAAAACAGAAGCTTTCATTGGACAAAAGCGAAAAAGGCCAGAGCTCTCTGTTGGGATGTGTTTTTCTAGTGTCCCACAATTATTCAGGGGTCTGTATCTCCGGTCTCTTAAAGGCTAGCAATGCAGTCCGGGGTTTGTGGGAAAGGACACATCATGCCACATTCTACTGACCTGTGGAGTTTGGCTTTGTTCAACCATTTCTCTGCTGATCTACAGGGACTGATCCTCGTTATCTCTGGTTTCGCGAAGACTACAATAAACAGTGGTGTGTGGTTGGAGAGGGAGCACAAAGCCCTGTAATCCTGTACAGTTTGAAGTCAGTTACACTTATTGTCACCAAGTTACGATGCTCTAAATTTCTCTGCTCCACTGCAGGTCAGCATCTCTGCAAAGCCACCTACAGTGCGCCTAAGTCGGATACACATTTGTAAAATTCCAGGGTTGGTATATTCAGTTACCTGAAGGCTGGCAATGCGATCTGGGGCTTGTGGGAAAGAGGACATCTTGTTTAATTAAGTTGTGGCGTTTGGCTTTGTCACAGATTTGTAAAGCCGCCCGTTGCGAAACATTCCCTTCTCCTGTGGTTTAATTTATGACAATTACTCAACTCGACTTTCATCACATATCCACAAAATCTTGACACCAGTCTATATCTTACAGCCGCAGACATCACCCTCCCTAACCCTAACCCTAATCCTAATCCTAATCCTACACTACAATACAGTAACAGCACTGTGTACACATCCATGAGAATGTTCACATAAACCCACCCAGCTCTGCAGAACCTTCACTGAAGCTGTCTGATCAGAACAGACACAACTTAAACCCAGTGAAGACAACATAACCGAGTCACAGTCAGACAGCTGAGCTGCGCAGTGTTTTAAGCGTTTATCTAACATTTCCAATTTTGAGATGGTTGTAGAAATATTATGATTGTTTTTGTTTTCTTATTTGTAAGTCATTTTGTCAAGTAAAGTTATCTCACTACATCAGCAGATACTTTTGTTTCAAGCTCATTTTTTAGTTTCTATCTTTGAGTTTATGGTTTTTTCTTAAACTGATCATGAATTTGTCTTTTATAACTCAGTCAGGAAGTCTTAAAACTGAGTAATTTACTGGTAAAATAAGCGACATTAGACAGAGAACCAGTCTGTACCGTCTCTCTGTCTGTCTGTCTCTCTCTCTGTCTGTCTGTCTCTTTCTCTCTGTCTCTCTCTCTCTCTCTCTCTCTCTCTCTCTCTCTCTCTCTCTCTCTCTGTATGTGTCTGTCTGTCTGTCTCTCTCTCATTCTGTTTCTATCTCTTTGCCTCTGTGGGATTAAGGACTAGTTTTAGATTAAATATGGGTTTAGTCCTGTTTCAGCACAAGACAGCTTGTTTGAGTCACAGCTGAATCTTCCTCCACTAGAGTTCAGTCATTCACACTAAATTACTGACTGATTTTCCTCCTCTGTCTCACTGAGCTGTAGCAAGTATGATAATCTGATCTAAGAACAGAATTTTCTACTGATTTCTCACCTCTGAACTTTATCAGAGCTGCTTATCTCTACACTGGAACTCATTTTAAGATTTCTTGTTCAGTAAAATGATTCTGCTGCACTGACTGATGATTTCACTAGAATTCATTCATTTTCTCCGCAAAGTTTAGTTTGTTTCTTGTATTTTATCTCCTCTGTTTTGCAGTGTGTAGTTTACCCAGCACAGTGACGGACAAACAGCAGCAAACTGAAAAACTGGGTCAGTCAGTCAGTCGTCAGCCGTGACGGTGAACATGAAGCGAGTCTGTTTCAGTCATATTTCACACACTGTACAAAAAATGACTTGTGGTAGCAAGTAATTAAAAGAGTTTTATTCAACTGAAATAAATAATTTGAATGAAAAATATTTTATTCAGTGCATTTATTTAAGTTGAATAAATCTATTTAACTTGCTTTTTACTAAATGAAGTATTTATCTAGTTATTTTGTACAGTGTAGAAAAGGCAGTGAGATAATTTTACATAATAAAATAGCTTAAAACAAGCAAAAATGTCTAGAATAAAAATATATATATTATTATAAATTATATTGCTAGAACCAAATCAAAAAAGACAAGAATAAATATCATTTCACTTGTTTTACAGTGTATTTTTCTCTGGGCGTTTATGTGACGTGATGTGTAGAAATCAAGATTAGCTTTGACATTTAAAACCTCATTAAAACTGTTTTAGTGATGCTCCCTTCACAAATAATACCAATATATGATTTGAAAATGTTAAATATTCCAATTTTACAGCTGCATCAATAAGGTTCAGGCATTTTCACTGCAAAAATGGTATTTTGGTAAGTGAAATTATCTTAAATCGACTGTAGAAATGTATAATACTTTTCATTCTGAGACGTTGTGGGAATATTATAGGAACATTCAACTTATTTCTGGATATTTTCAGTTGTTTTGGGTGATTTTATAAAGCAAACTGATCTCACCATGTGGGCAGATAATTTGGATTATTTAAAAAAAATGTGATTGAAACAGACTAAATGTATGCTGATGTAGTGAGATCATTACGCTTAATAAAATCATTCAAAACAAGTAAAAAATCTAGAGTTAAGTTAAATATTCTTATAATATTCCAACAATAATCTCAAAATTACAGATTTCAGTTAGAGTAGATTTAAGATCATTTTACTTGCTAAAATATTATGTTTGCAGTGTACAATCATCTGTCACCACAGATCCACACAGCTATCATCCACACTATTAAAAAGATGGTTCTTCAAGGGTTCTTTAGTAAAGACAGTGGTTCTGTATAGAAGCATGAACAATATAGAACTGTACAGTCAATGGTTCTGGATCAGACGGGTCTCTGAGGGTCTCCAGACCTCAGTTTTACTAAAATAAGAGTAAAACCAGTCCAGACGCATCACTGAGCAGTGAGGGTTCTCCTCACTCCGTATACAGATGGTTTACCTGCTGAGTCTCTGAGCTGCTGTAACCGTCCTGACGGATCAGAGTCTCAGCTGAACTGAACTGATTGATTAACGCTGATCTGTTTACTGACTGTTTAAACTCCGGGCGTTAATCAATAATTCAGACGTGAGATAAACTTACTGTCATTTACAGTAACACACTGACCAGCCTGCAGTGCAGCACACACAGGTTCTAAAGACACGTTCTACTGGACTGAACCAGCAGCACACAATAATCAAACACCAATAAATCTGATTAAAATTAAACATTGAAAAATCTCTTCAAACAACTTTCAGCACAAGCAGCAACTTAAACACAGTGAACACTCCCTCACTCACTCACTCACTCCCTCACTCACTCACTCACTCACTCACTCACTCTCACTCACTCACTCACTTATTCACTCACTCACTCACTCACTCACTCTCTCACACTCTCCTTCACTCACTCACTCACTCACTCTCTCACACTCTCATTCACTCACTCACTCACTTATTCACTCACTCACTCTGAACATAGTCGCTCTCTCTCTCTCTCTCTCTCTCTCTCTCTCTCTCTCTCTGTCTGTCTTTTGGTCTCTCTCTCTCTGTCTCTTTCTCTCTCTCTCTCTCTGTCTTTCTGTCTCTCTCTCTCTCTCTCTCTCTCTCTCTCTCTGTCTCCCTCTCTCTCTCTTACCTGTGCTGTGTGTGTTCTTGTCTGTTCTGTTGTTCTTCATTCTCCTGCAGTCTCTCCTCAGACTGAGCTCTCAGCACTGCTCACTCACTTTTATACACACAGGAGCGGAAACCACAGAGAGCTACGCACACACTGATCACTGACACTGCACTGCACTGACACCACACTGCGCAAACACCATACTGCACTAACACCATACTGCACTAACAATACACTGCACTAACACCACACTGCACTAACAATACACTTCACTGACACCACACTGCACTAACACTGCACTGCCATAACAACACACTGCACTAACACAACACTAACACCACACTAACACTGCACTGCATAAATATTGTGCTGTGTTAATACTGCACAGCATTCACACTGCACTGCATTAACACTGAACAGTGCAGAAACTCACAGTAACACACTGAACAGCCTGCATTAAAGCTGTACTGCATTAACACTGCACTGTTAACCTTTGTTTTGAAGAGTGTTCTGATGATCTAAAGCGTTTAATGTTGAAAACTCTTCAACTCAGTTTGACCTGCTGGGTGATTCACTCAGAAAGTTTATTGTTTTCTTCATCTCATTAAAATCGTTAATATAAAATGTTTATTATTGATGTGTTCATCACAGGAAGTACAGGTTGGTTTGTTTTTTTTGTTTCACGTTCTTTAATATCAAAATAATTAAACGCCAGTGCTGAGAAATCAGATAATTAAAGGAGAAAAGTCCATTAAACAGCGAGAAAACCTGATATTTTAGCTCAGAATCCGAGTTTGTATCTCTTTAAGAGGGTGTTTGTGGTAAACACCACACATTTGAAAAAGATGGTTCTTCAAGGGTTCTTTAGTAAAGGCTATGGTTCTATACAGGGCCATTAACACTAAAAGAACCACTTGCATGCTTAAATAGTTCTTTAACTGGTGAAATGGTTCTTCAGATTGGTGGAAAATTGTATATGTTGCATGGTTCATTATAGCATCAAAAAGGGTTCTGCTGTTGTTTTGGTGCTGTGTAGAACAGTTACAAAAAATTCTCTATCAATTTGAAGAACCATTTCACCAGCTAAAGAACCATTTAAGCATGCAAGTGGTTCTGTTAGTGTTAATGGCTCTATATTGAACTTTTGTCTTTACTAAAGAACCCTTGAAGAACCACCTTCCTTGTGCGTCTGGATGCTGCAGGTCTGTGGTTCTGCTGTGTGTTTAAGGTCGTTCTCTCCAGTGTGGTGGATCGTTAGCGTTAGCTCGCCGCGGCTCTCTGCTCAGATGAAACTGAACCCATGTGTGCGTTTGGTCTGATTTGTTGTGCCTCCGCAGTGCCAGCGCATCCCAATGTGGAGACAGAGAACATTCCTGCTCTCTGAAGACTTTTCTTTTAAATCAGATAAACAAACTCTGCATGATGCTAAGAGTTCCCATATTCGCCTGGTGGAGCATTTGGAGACGCTTAGCATATTTCAGTGGTACAGTAATAAATTCCCTCCACAAACACAGATTTAGAGAAAAATAACTTCAGTACCCGCAGAGTTACATTTACCATCACAACATTTATGACGGTAAAGTAGGTTAATAAAGGACTCTGAGTGTATTTAAGACAGTTTGTATACATTCATTTCAGTACTTATTGAATAATCCATAGTAGATTCTGAATAATCCATAGTGAATACTGAATAATCCATAGTAGATTCTGAATAATCCATAGTGGACACTGAATAATCCATAGTGGACACTGAATAATTCATAGTGAATACTGAATAATCCATAGTGAATACTGAATAATTCATAGTAGATACTGAATAATTCATAGCAGATACTGAATAATTTATTGTAGATACTGTATAATTCATAGTGGACACTGAATAATTAATAGCAGATACTGAACAATTCAAACTGGATACTGAATAATTTGTAGTAGATACTGAATAATTCATAGTGGACACTGAATAATTAATAGCAGATACTGAACAATTCAAACTGGATACTGAATAATTTGTAGTAGATACTGAATAATTCATAGTGGACACTGAATAATTTATCATAGTAAATGAATAATAAGTGCAGTTTAAAACTTTAAAATGTTAGCATTATTAAAATGTCAGCTTATTGTTCAGTAGCTACATTAAAAACATTTTATAACACAGTTTTATGAGTGTATAATAAAGTCCTGAATATTATAATGAGTTAATTAGTCAGGCTTTAATCACTTACAGTCCTCAAATCAGGGAAATGTTTCTGAGTTCTGCAGCAGTTTCAGTGCCTGGTTCTGCGAGAGCTCCAGCATGAAAGCTGCAGTGAGGGTTATTTGGAGAACAAATGAGACGAGCTCAGTGCCGCTGCTGCTGCTGGAGGCCCCTGAGATCTCTAACAGCGCTTCAATAGGAAATTCATCAGAGAAACAGAGCGAGAGATCCTGACCAACTAAATCACCGCTGCCCAAATCCATCAGCCTGAAGCGTTAGAGCTGTTATTATAGCTGCGTCTCATTTCAGAACCGCATTCCTATCAGACGGAAAACTGCTTTCAACACCATGTTCTGCTCACTGCGCCTGGATCTGAGGGAGGATCATCACTCTGTTCTGTTCAGCCTCAACATTTAGAACCTGAATTAAGACACAGTCGGCTTCAGGTTACAGCAGGTTCCTCCGGCTCTGCAGAGTGAAGTAGAGCAGCACTTCAACAGGCAGAGCGATCTGGGATCTACACACGGTTCCTCAACTGAGCTGCAGCTTTTACTGTCCATGCGTTCTGATACTGTAGATATTTTTATAGTAGTATAAAACAGATAGTTCTGGTCCTGAAATCTGATTGGCTGAGCCACATTTGAAGCCATAAAAAATTCGATAAACACACACACTGACCACCTCACAGCAACTGAGCTCTGTATTAGTGCTGTATGAAAACCCCTTGTGCTGTTAATGATCTCTGACTCTAATGCTGCTCACACGGAGCGCCGAGTCAACTGAGGCTCAAAACATAGCAGCAGAGTTTAAATATGTTGTGCTGTTGTTTATTGAGTAAACAAGACTGTTTCTCTTTATAGAAATGTTTACAAACATTTATAAACTATGATTTTGTACACACACACACACACACACACACACACACACACACATACACACACACACACACACACACTGTAGCACTGAGTTTGACCTGACTTTACAGATCTAGGTGCTTTAGATCAAAGCCACGTGTGGAGTGACACACTGAGGACCACACACTGCACTCCTCACACATCAGAGCCCCGCCCCTCTGCACACACACACACACACACACACACACACACACACACACACACACACACACTGCACTCCTCCTCACACCTTAAACACCCCGCCCGTCTACACACAGCATACATTACCCAGCAGAACGTGCAGCTTATTACTCACTGTCTCTACCTATTCATCTCTCTCATCTCTGATTCCCTCTCACTCTTTCATTCTCTCTCTCCATCTGTTTCTCTTTCTCTCTCACTCTTACTCTATTTCTCTTTATCACTCTTTCTCTCTCTCTCACTCTCTGCATCTCTCTCTCTCCTCTTTTTCCTCTGAGTCTCTGTCACATGCTAATTGTTTGTGACTGAAATGAATGAATAACTATATAATAATACTAATAATACTACAACTACTACTAATAATAATAATAATAATGTGTACATGGAGTGTTCATGGTATATTTATAGTCATACTCAGTACAGTAATCTATTACGGTTATGTGATCATTTCTAAATATTTAGTCATTCCTGAGTGACGAGCATGTTGACCTGATCAGTGATGCTCAGTATGAATTTCCTGATATGATCATTAATAAATACAGATGCTGTAATATTCTCTCTGCTCTGGTCTGTGTTTATCTTGCTGTCTCTGGTCATGCGCTTCGGTTTTTGTTTTCCTGCTCTGCCCCTTTGCCCCGCCCCTCACCTGTGTCTGATCTGTTGCCCCGCCCTCTAACTGCACACAGGTGTTTCCTGTTTGTTTGTCGGTATTTGTTGCTCTGCTGTTTGTCCTGTTTCTGACCTGATGTTGTTTGTTGTTTTCAGGTTGTAGTTTTGTGTATTTATTCCTGGAGTTTGTAGTTTTGTTCAGTTCTGTTTGTTTGGACTGTTTTGTAGTTTTCTTATTGAACTTTCTAGTTTAGCTCCTCTTTAGTTTCTGTTTTTTTATTGCTGCCTTCATCATGGACAGCAGCGAAACTCTCAGCGTCCTGCTTCCTCGTCCCCTTCATCTACACACGTCACAAACACACGGTCCTTCTTTTCAAGGAACACATGATTCTCAGCACATGAAAAGTTCTCTACACTGCGTTTGTTATTGTTCCCTTACTGACATTAAAACCTCCCACGCTGCTGCTCCTGCGGTGCTCTGAGGCAGGGCGGCACACGGTCGCGTCCAAAATGAATGTTTGTATAAATGCTGTCTGCTGAGGTTCCTCTGTAGATCATTCTCTGCCTACGTTTCCCATGATCCTGTGTGTGGATGCCAATGCTGTTAGAAGAAAAATTGCTGAAAGATGTAGCACCAATATATATATATAAACCTCGTATCTCCATTTTTGTCGTTTTTTAATTTTTGTCATAATTTGAAAATGACTGTTGTCCTTTACATTCTATGTAAATCTCATGATGAATGGACCAAAAGAAACGGCCCAAAATGACTTGGAAAAATGTCTGGTTCCATTGACTTACATTAAAAGTAAAGTATGTTTTTTCTTCTCCTGTAAAGTTACCATTTTGGAGATACGAGGTTTTCTTCCGACAACAGCAGCCAACAATATATATATTTACAATCAGAACTCATTTATAGTATTTTCTCTGTCTTTTTAAATTCAGCAGGTGTAAATTACCCCCACTCACTACACACATTTCATCCCACAGCGTTTACCCACATGGAAAAAATTATGTGGCCATGTATTACACTATACACTAAAATGTATTTCAGAATATATTGCCATATTAACCAAATATATTTTAAATTACATTTTAAATGCATCTTATTGAAAGTAGATTTTATCAATCATACATCATATTTTCTTTATTACCTTGTAGTTTTTAATGTTGCAGGGTTGGAATGGAGCTCACAGTCAGAGCTGTGGAAATGACTTTTTCTGCTGATCCTGAATAATATTAAATTTAGAGTAGATACTAA